ACTTCCAACAAGCGTGTTTGAGTGTGTTAGATAGGAGTGAATGGAGACAAATGGTATTTGGGACCTGACGATCTGTTGGAGTGTGAGCAGGGTAATATTTAGTGAAGTGATTCAGGAAAACTGGTTACTTTATATAACCGGACTTGAGTCCTGGAAATGGGAAGTACAATGCCTGCACTCTAAAGGAGGGGTTTGGGATATTGACAGGTTGGAGAGATATATTGTGTATTTTTATACGTATATAATTCTAAACTGTTGTATTCTGGGCACCTCTGCAAAAACAGTGATTATGTGTGAGTGAGGTGAAAGTGTTGAATGATGATGAAAGTATTTTCTTTTGGGGGATTTTCTTTCTCTTTGGATCACCCTGCCTCGGTGGGAGACGGCCGACTTTTTTTTTTTTTTTTTTTTATCACACTGGCCGATTCCCACCAAGGCAGGGTGACCCGAAAAAGAAAAACTTTCACCATCATTCACTCCATCACTGTCTTGCCAGAAGGGTGCTTTACACTACAGTTTTTAAACTGCAACATTAACACCCCTCCTTCAGAGTGCAGGCACTGTACTTCCCATCTCCAGGACTCAAGTCCGGCCTGCCGGTTTCCCTGAACCCCTTCATAAATGTTACTTTGCTCACACTCCAACAGCACGTCAAGTATTAAAAACCATTTGTCTCCATTCACTCCTATCAAACACGCTCACGCATGCCTGCTGGAAGTCCAAGCCCCTCGCATACAAACCTCCTTTACCCCCTCCCTCCAACCTTTCCTAGGCCAACCCCTACCCCGCCTTCCTTCCACTACAGACTGATACACTCTTGAAGTCATTCTGTTTCGCTCCATTCTCTCTACATGTCCGAACCACCTCAACAACCCTTCCTCAGCCCTCTGGACAACAGTTTTGGTAATCCGCACCTCCTCCTAACTTCTAAACTACGAATTCTCTGCATTATATTCACACCACACATTGCCCTCACACATGACATCTCCACTGCCTCCAGCCTTCTCCTCCTGCAACATTCATCACCCATGCTTCACCCCATATAAGAGCGTTGGTAAAACTATACTCTCATACATTCCCCTCTTTGCCTCCAAGGACAAAGTTCTTTGTCTCCACAGACTCCTAAGTGCACCACTCACCCTTTTCCCCTCATCAATTCTATGATTCACCTCATCTTTCATAGACCCATCGCTGACACGTCCACTCCCAAATATCTGAATACATTCACCTCCTCCATACCCTCTCCCTCCAATCTGATATCCAATCTTTCATCACTTAATCTTTTTGTTATCCTCATAACCTTACTCTTTCCTGTATTCACTTTTAATTTTCTTCTTTTGCATACCCTACCAAATTCATCCACCAATCTCTGCAACTTCTCTTCAGAATCTCCAAAGAGCACAGTGTCATTAGCAAAGAGCAACTGTGACAACTCCCACTTTATGTGTGATTCTTTATCTTTTAACTCCACGCCTCTTGCCAAGACCCTCGCATTTACTTCTCTTACAACCCCATCTATAAATATATTAAACAACCACGGTGACATCACACATCCTTGTCTAAGGCCTACTTTTACTGGGAAATAATCTCCCTCTTTCCTACATACTCTAACTTGAGCCTCACTATCCTCGTAAAAACTATTCACTGCTTTCAGTAACCTACCTCCTACACCATACACCTGCAACATCTGCCACATTGCCCCCCTATCCACCCTGTCATATGCCTTTTCCAAATCCATAAATGCCACAAAAACCTCTTTAGCCTTATCTAAATACTGTTCACTTATATGTTTCACTGTAAACACCTGGTCCACACACCCCCTACCTTTCCTAAAGCCTCCTTGTTCATCTGCTATCCTATTCTCCGTCTTGTTGGAAAAAAAAAAAAAAGTATATTTTACACATTTTTTCAGAAAACTGACAAAACAGTGTAAATCAAGTAAATGTAATAATATGGAATAGAGTGAATATAATAAAAAGATAATCATAAGTTTTTTCTTTCTTTTTGGGTCACCCTGCCTTGATGGGAAATAACTGACGTGTTAAAAAAAAATATATAATCATGGGGGAGCACCAAACCCCAAAGGATTATACCATGCCTGTGGGGGGGGGGGATGGAAGGCATTCAGGCTCAATTCAGGGAACTGGAGAATAGATCCAATTCCCCATATCAAGAACCCTTCACCAGCATCAAGGAACCTCCCTTGAGGGGTAATAAAAGATAAATGGTCAGTCCATATAAATAATTGTGTAAATATAAATAATATAAATAAGTGTAAATATAGAGATTATCATTACACTGTATTTGAAAAGGAGCTCTCAACTCAAACGAGTCAATCAGTGTAAAGCAATGTAAAGGTACCAGTGCATCATGGCAGCATCAGAAAACTAATATGCCTCACATACACAACTCCATCTAGCTTCATCCAACTTTATACATGTTTGAAAAATTATTTTTATTTACATCTATTACATAGCTGCAACAAATATGATGATGACAAGGCACAGTACTCGCCCCCATCTTATTCCTTATCCTCATATCAGACATAAACAGAGATATACACCACAGCACCGTATCATCCTTTGCGGATGATACTAGGATCTGCATGAGGCTGTCATCTGCTGAGGACGCGGTTAACCTCCAAGAAGATATAAACAAAGTTTTCCAGTGGGCAACGGTAAACAATATGATGTTCAATGAGGACAAATTCCAACTACTCCGTTATGGAAAACTGGAGGAGATAATAACTAGAACAGAGTATACTACTGACTCCGGCCATACAATAGAGCGGAAAAATAATGTAAGGGACCTGGGAGTAGTAATGTCTGAGGATCTCACTTTCAAGGATCACAACAGTGCCACGATCGCACGTGCAAAGAAAATGATAGGATGGATAATGAAACTTTCAAAACGAGAGATGCCAAGCCCATGATGATCCTTTTCAAATCACTTGTTCTCTCTAGGCTGAATATGCTGTACATTAACATCTCCATTCAAAGCAGGTGAAATCGCAGATCTAGAGAGTGTACAGAGATCCTTTACTGCACGTATAAGTTCTGTCAAGCACCTTAACTACTGGGAACGCTTGGAAGCACTTGACTTGTACTCGTTGAACGCAGGAGGGAGAGATATATCATAATCTACACTTGGAAAATCTTGGAAGGAATGGTCCCAAATCTGCACACAGAAATCACTCCCTACGAAAGTAAAAGACTGGGCAGGCGATGCAAAATGCCCCCATAAAAAGTAGGGCGCCATTGGTACACTAAGAGAAAACACCACAAGTGTCCGGGGCCCAAAACTGTTCAACAGCCTCCCATCAAGCATTAGGGGAATTGCCAATAAACCCCTGGCTGCCTTCAAGAGAGAGCTGGACAGACACCTAAAGTCAGTGCCGGATCAGCCGGGCTGTGGCTCGTACGTTGGACTGCGTGCGGCCAGCAGTAACAGCCTAGTTGATCAGCCCCTGATCCATCGGGAGGCCTGGTCATGGACCAGGCCGCGGGGGCGTTGATCCCCGGAATAACCTCCAGGTAACCTCCAGGTATGATCAGTCAGACAAAATTAATCTGATGTTTTGTACTTACAATGACTAAACAAAATATTGTATGTTATTATTGATGCAATCTTGAAATTATTGCAGATATAATATAAAATACAAATCTGTCAAATCTTAAACATCCTAATGATATTAAATTCAATAAACAATAATGTACAGCACTTACACTGAAGTACAGGGGTACCTCAGTATACGTCCGCTTTGGAATAAGTCCAACTTGGTATATGTCCTGATTGGATGCTTGGTATACGACCTTTGTTTGGAATATGACTCGCGTGCTAGAACTTGTATGGGTCAAAATGAGTCACGACACCATGCGCTACCCTTGTTCACCTCTCTCGAGACAAAGCCTTGACTGCCAACTTGCATCAGTCTGCTTGTTGCTACCATTCAGTGAACAACCCACGCTTTAACTCTGTAAATTTTCACGTGATTTTGTGTTTCTTCGTATAAATTTTTAGTAAATTCATTAACCATGAGTTCTAAGAAAGTTAACGAGAAGAGCCAAGCAACGAAGAAAATGGTTAGGATCACCATGGAGGTGAAAAAAAGAGATTGTTGAAAAGTGTGAAGGTAGCATGCGTTCTCGGCATCCCATATGCCGAGAACAGCATTGCCGTAATAGCACTGTCTGGAATGACCAGACAATGTCACATTTCTGAAACATCCTGAGAAGGCAGAAGCAAAGTTCTTTGGACAGTTTTAGTATAAGTCAAACCTGGTGAGTTTCAACCAGGTCCAAACAGGAAAAAAAGAGATAGAAAAGAGAAGGGGACTCTCCTTCCAAACAATAATATTTCCTCCTCCTCCCTTCTCAGCACTATCCTAGTAGGCACTCGACTCTTTTCAGCAATGTGAAGTTAAATTTGCATTTTTTTTTTTTTAACAAGTCGGCTGTCTCTCACCGAGTCAGGGTGACCCAAAAAGAAAGAAAATCCCCAAAAAGTAAATACTTTCATCATCATTCAACACTTTCACCTCACTCACACATAATCACTGCATTTATTTCATCTAATTCTTTTGTATTTATGTATGTATTTTAGTATTAAGCAGTGTTTAAATTACATATTTTAGTATTAAGCAGTGTTTAAATTACATATTTTAGTATTAAGCAGTGTTTAAATTATTTTATACAACCCCATCAATGTATAATATGCCAATAACAATAGGATTATTTTTTCAAGGGAACGGATTAATCATTTTTCCCTATATTTCTTGTAGGAATATTTGTTTGGTATACGTCCTGTTGGGTATAAGTCCAAGGTCCTGGAACGGATTAAGAACGTATACCAAGGCACCACTGTATCTTACCGAATACATAAGATAAACAAAATAGTATTTATTCAAGAGTACAGAAGGCATGGCACATCTTTTGTAAGATAATATATAGTCTGCAAGGTCAAACAAGGGCATGGTTATATACATATACCAAAGACCATGATCACAGACAAAAAATATTTTATTAAAATTTTCATATAAATTAATTTAATTAGTAAAACCACCAATAAGGTATGTTTATGAGCAAGGGGCTAGTAACCCCTTCTGTATACATTACTAAAGTTAAAAAGAGAAACTTTTGTTTTTCTTTTTGGGCCACCCTGCTTTGGTGGGATACAGCCGGTTTGTTGAAAGAAGAAGGTATGTTTATACAACATAAAAATCTAAACACTGATTATAGTGGTCAAAATCACTACAAAATCACACACAAAAAATTTAAAAGTGGAAAAATGTCTTTAAAAAATTTTTATAATGTCTTGCTCTCCTTTGATAAATTCAGAATGCCACTGTCAGATGATAAAGAATTTAAAAAGAGTTTAAACAAAATAAAGTATAAACTAATGCCTGTTGTTTTACTACTCACCATCAGGACTAGCTTGCATTTCTTCTAAAAATTTTCATACGAGTAAATTACAGTTTTTATAATTGATAATGTGGGGATATTTGCAGTTTGGAGAGGCATCTGAACTAGTATCTGCACACCTCTGGCAAGACAGTGATGGAGAGAATGATAGTTTTTTTTTTTTTTAATTATTCTAGATTACTTAATAAGTAATTCTGGATGACTTGGAGGGTATGTAAATCTGTAGTGGAGGGAAGGCAGAGTAGGGGTCATCCTAGAAAAGGTTGGAGGGAGCAGGTAAAGAAGGTTTTGTGTGTGAGAGGCTTAGACATCCAGCAAGCGTGTGTAAGTATGTTAGATAGTAGTGAGTGGAGGTAAGTGGTTTTTATGACTTTAGGTGCTGTTGGAGTGTGAGCAAGGTAACATTTATGAAGGGATTCAGAGAAACCAGTTACAGTGGAACCTCTGGTCACGAACACTTCTGAACATGAACAAATTGGTTCATGACTAAAAAATCTGTCAAATTTTTGCATCTGGTCATGAACACATAACTGAGTGCCGAACAAACACAGCTGTGCCAATTTTCACATTCCACACCATTTTTTCGCACATGCCAATTTTCTCCACTTCCTGTTGTTTGTGTACACCTAACTCTGTTATGTAACATTTTTTCTCTATTAACCCTTTCAGGGTCCAAGGCCCAAATCTGGAGTCACGCACCAGTGTCCAAGAATTTTCAAAAAAAAAATTTGTTATTTTTTCTTATGAAATCGTAGAGAATCTTTTTGTGAAGGTAATAAAACAAAAAGTACGAAATTTGGTGGAAAATTGACGAAATTATGCTCTCGCGAATTTTGATGTGTCAGCGATATTTACGAATCGGCGATTTTGCCGACTTTGACTCCCATTTTAGGCCAATTACATTATTCCAGTCAACCAAATTCTTAGCTATTTCACTAGTATTACTTCTATTCTATCGATTGAGCACAAGAAATCGCCAAGTCAACTGTTTCAACTACAAAATAAAGTGATCGGAAATTGTTAATTTGGCCAATTTAACACAAAGTTCAAAATATTCCAATTTCAAAATAGGGTCCAGAATGAACAATGTAGGCATTCCTGGCACTAAACTAACATTTCCTCTGTTCATTAGTTATGTTTTGAGGCTTTACAAATAAATTCCATTTTGATTTTTTATTCACATAATGAATTTTTATTCACACCAAAAAATAGAAGATTTACTGTTATGCAATACTGTAATAATTGTATAAATATCATCACCATATTTGTGAATGTATATTAGACCCACCAGCTGATGTGTATTAGACGTGTGAGGTCGTTTGTTTACTCTTGAATATCGGCAAAAATTTAACAATTCTGCTAATTTGAGCTCAGTTTCAAGCCATTTCCAGTGCTAAAACCAATCAAAATCATCTCTATTTCTGTAATATGTCTTCCATTCTATCAAATGAGACCAAGAAATCGCAAATACAACTATAAAAAACATACGAAAAAACACTGCAAAGTTGCTGTTTTAATCGAAAAATCATGATTTCATTTTTTCTCTCTCATTATACACAGTGTGCTGCAGGATCTGTTTTATGTGGTGCACACATACCACATAGATGTATTCTCTCATATCTAGGCCCAAATGTACCACTCACAGTTTATCAGAGTGAGCTGAGCTCATGGCGTAGATCTACGGTTTGGACCCTGAACGTAAAGCCGTAGATCTACGGGACGGACCCTGAAAGGGTTAAACTGTGCATTATTTTGTATAATTAAAGATTTTTCAAACTTTGATTATTTTTTCTGTGCTTAAAACTCAAAAAAAAAAAAAAAAAAAAAAAAAAAAAAAAAAAAAAAAAAAAAAAAAAAAAAAAAAAAAAAAAAAAAAGTTTACAGCAAACGGTTCATGCAATGTTAGTTTTCTCTGTTGTTCAAAGTTTTCTCAGTGTTATTCAAGGTTTTTACATTTAGTTTACTATTACACTGAGCATTCTACAGTATAATGAACTATTTTTGTGCTTAAAAATGCTATATAGCCCTTGTGGTTTAGTGCTTCTTTCTGATTATAATAATAATAATGTGCTTAAAAATTAAAAACAAAAAATATTTACATACAGTTCATAGGGATCCAGAACAGATTAATCATATTTGCTTACAATCCAATGGGGAAATTTGGTTCAGGTCATGACCAAATAGGGTCGCAAACCAGTTTTGGAACAAATTATGGTCGTAACCAGAGGTTCCACTGTATCTGGATTCAAGTCCTGGAGATGGGAAGTACAGTGCCTGCACTCTGAAGAAGGGGTGGGGATATTTGCCCCTCTGGCAAGAGTGATGGTGAAAGTGCTTCTAATTTGGGTTACCCTACCTTAGTGGGAGATGGCCAGCTGGTTAAAAAAAATCAAAAGTAAAACATACTTCTACCATTTTTCACTGTGAAATGAATGATGATTTAATTAAAATGAAGAGAGTTTGACAGTACAATATAGTGTATACTATAAAACTGTGCATGAGCCATTACCTGCATGTTTATACATCTACTTAATGGCTAAACTTGCCTGATGTTTAACAATATAGTTTTTCTTTTCAATTGAATACTTTTGAAATTTTGGTCATATATCTTTTTATTTTCAGAATACTGCACTTGGTCATTCTTTCTATACACTGGTTGTAACCACTGGTCCTTAACATTTCACCTAAATAAACAACAAATTATAACTAATCCTGTTTTAGATTCACTATGATTTCTTCATTCTGTGTTCCTTTACACACTTTGTTGAACAAAATTTATTTTCATTGTACTCGAAGGGCACCATACCTGTTATGTCTAAGGCACACATGAAACAGCGCAGCAGACAGGGGCGCTGCTCTCCTGCCTTTCCTTGCTGCTGAAGAAAGCGGCGCTCTGCTGCTAATGCCCTCTGAGGAGATAAGATATTTTAATATTATGCATACCTAATGGCATAAAAGTTGTACTACGTTGTATATATTTGCTTTCTACAGATCATGTTATCATATAAAACCATCAGGCAAATGCCAAGGGCTGCAAAGTTTCCAATTATCACTAATAAGGATGAAAATTATCATTTAACCACTCATTACCACTTGTTGTTAACTGCCATCACAGTATGGTTTGCCATCACAGATCCCCACAAAGTTAAGAGTTTCTTCAAGCTCATTATTATATATTTAATGTTTTTCATGTATAGCTGTTTGGCTTTTGGAATATATTTGTAAGTAAATTTAGGGTTGTATATTTTTTCTTGAAACATTTATTTTCACCTACTAAAGGTTAAAAATGGTTGAAGGCTTTTCTTGTAATATTAGGATTTTTTGATCTTGTCTCTCAACACACATTAATGTATAAATGAAAACTATTTTGCTTATGTAGAAGAGGCACAAAAGACAATGACTCTCATATTTATTAAAATCAGAATTAACCCTTTATGTTTAATTTTATAATAAATAAAGTTGAGCTCTGTAATTTGTATGAATTAGGTTTCTGGAGGGAATGTGAATTATGAAACCACAGATAATAGGAACTTTTGTATGTCTTGAATTATATATATATAAAAAAAATACCTTTATCAATAGTGCTTAACCCTTTCAGGGTCCGTGCCGTAGATCTACGGCTTTACATTCAGGGGCCCAAACCATAGATCTATGCCATGAGCTCAGCTCACTCTGATAAGCTATGAGCAGTAAATTTGGGCCTAGATATGAGAGAATACATCTATGTGGTATGTGTGCACCACATAAAAATAATCCTGCAGCACACAGTGCATAATGAGAGGAAAAAAACTGAGACCGTAATTTTCGATTAAAACAGCGACTTTGCAGTGTTTTTTCGTATGTTTTTTATAGTTGTATTTGCAATTTCTTGGTCTCATTTGATAGAATGGAAGATATACTACAGAAATAGAGATATTTTGATTGGTTTTAGTACTGGAAATGGCTTGAAACTGAGCTCAAAGTAGCAGAAATGTTAAATTTTTGCAGATATTCAAGAGTAAACAAATGACCTCACAAGTCTAATACACGACAGCTGGTGGGTCTAATATACATTCACAAATGTGTGATATTATTTATACAATTATTACAGTATTGCATAATAGTAAATCTTCTATTTTTTTGGTTTGAATAAAAATTCATTATGTGAATAAAAAATAAAAATGGAATTCATTTGTAAAGCCTCAAAACATAACTAATGAACAGAGGAAATGGTAGTTTAGTGCCAGGAATGCCTGCATTGTTTATTCTAGACCCTATTTTGAAATTGGAATATTTTGAACTTTGCATTAAATTGGCCAAATTACCAATTTCCGGTCACTTTATTTTGTTGTTGAAACAGTTCACTTGGTGATTTCTTGTGCTCAATCGATAGAATAGAAGTAATACTAGTGAAATAGCTAAGAATTTAGTTGACTGGAATACTGTAATTGCCCTAAAATGGGAGTCAAAGTCGGCAAAGTCGCCAATGCATAAATATCGCCGGGACATCAAAATTCGCGAGAGCATAATTTCGTCAATTTTCCACCAAATTTCATACTTTTTGTTTTATTACCTTCAGAAAAAGATTCTCTACCATTTTATAAGAAAAAATAACAAAATTATTTTTTGAAAATTCTTGGACCCTGGTGTACACTTTGAAATTTGGCCTCTGGACCCAGAAAGGGTTAATATTGACATTTATAAGAAAGAATGAGCACATTTTGAATAAAATCCTATAGTTAGTTTTCAAGGCAACTAAAATGCCAGGAGCAAGGGGTTAGTAACCCCTTCTCCTGTAGCATATACGTATTACTAAATGTAAACGGAGAAACTTTCGTTTTTTTCTTTTGGCCCACCCAGCCTCTGTGGGATACAGTCGGTGCGTTGAAAGAGGAAGAGTTAGTTTTCAATTTAAGGGTTGTGCACCTAGCTAAAAAGATAATGAGCACCATGAAAAACCATAAATAATCAAAGCTATCTTCTAAATGGCCTGTAAAAACTATGCATAACCAAATTATGTGAATTACAAAGCATGTCAGTTCTGGGGATCAAGTGTATACAATTTCAATACCCTCTGTTATCCCAAATATTTAAATCATATACAACACCTGTGTGAAATTAATGTAACAAGGCATATGAAGAACTTTATGGCAATTACTGCATACGGCTTTCAAATAAATACTGTACGTAAATCAACAAATGAAAAAACTTTGAAGAACTGTTATACAAGAGTCAATCTTATTTATGAAAAATAAAATAAGGAAACAAATAAATTATATTTACAAGTACCTTTTCCCTGTCACTTAATGCAAGAAACCTCCTCATCTCCTCCTCTTCTCGCATTGTCTCCCTTTCTTTGAGCTTCTTCTCCTTTTGTCTCTCTAGCTTGACCTGCCTCTGTGCCTTTCTCCTCTCAGCCAGCTTGGCTGCTTGTTGTGCCTCATGCTCAGGTGTCAGGGGACTTGGAACTTTAGCCTAGAAGCAATTCATCATTATCTGATCCAGTGTATTCAGAGATGAAAAAACACTTAAATGCTTTATGTGTAATACAGTGGTACCTCAAATTTTGGCCAAAATTTGTTCCAGAAGGTTGTTCAAGTGCCGTTGCCAAACAAATTTGTTCCCATAAGGAATAATGTAAATTAGATTAGCCCATTTCAGACCCCCAAAAATACATTTACAAAAACACTTACAAAAATACACTTACATAATTGTTCAAGTTGGGAGCTGTTCGAAATTTGAGGTACCACTATAAATGCTTTCTTCTTGACATATTAGTAAAAAAAAAAAAGAAATGAAGGCATTGTACAATTACACAAGATTTCATATTTTATACTTAATTTTTGCCCCATTCAAGAAGGTGATTTACAGGTCACAAACACTGCATTCTGTATAGTAGGCATATCAAGGAGTGGCTTACAAGCTGCTCCCTTGGCCCCACAATCTCCCTCAGCCCCCAAAATAATACAATTAATGATAAATACTACTACTACTAATAATAATAATTATAGTGTGAATGATTGTAAAAGTGTTTCTTTTTTGGATCACCCTGCCTCGGTGAGAGATGACCAGCGTGTTAACAAAAAAAAAAAAAAAAACTGTATGTCAAGTAGAAACCTTTGCTATTTTTATTGATCTGCAATGTACACTAAATAAAAACAATGTGCTTTCTCTCCAGATGCAATTAAGTCCCCTGGCCCCTTTCCAAATAGACTGCCACCCCTAAGCCTCTCTTTTACAGAAATTCTGGAGCAACCCAGATCCTGTGCTTGAAGAACATTCAAACAAATTCTATAAAATTTTTCAAAGTGAAGATGAGAAAATATTTAACATATGAGAAGAGGATTACTTAAATCTACTGTACAGTGGAACCCCAAGTTTTAAACGTATTGACTATCTAATGCTTCGAGTTTCGACTGCTTTTTTTGAACCAATTTTGTCCCGACTATCGAACACGCCCTGTCTTTTAAACTGCTGAGTACTGGTCCTGTCCTTGAGTGAACACTAACCTGTGAGCTCATTCAAACATTTCACTATTAATTCATTGTGTTTGGTGCTTGTGCGACTGTGAAATAAGCTACCATGGGCCCAAAGAAACTTGCTAGTGGTACCCCTGTGGTAAAGAAAGTGAGAAACACCATAGACATGAAGAAGGAAATACTAATACAAAAATATGAGAGTGGTGTGCAACTTGTTGAGCTTGCCAGGATGTACAGGAAAAACAAGTCAACCATCGCTTCTATCCTGGCAAAGGAAGAACAAATCAAGGAAGCTGATGTTGCGAAAGGTGTTGATATGCTAACCAAAAATAGACCACAAACAGCCGATCATATTGAGAAGTTGTTGCTGGTGTGGATCAAGGATAAAGCTATGCGGGTGATAGTGTTTCTGAGACAATCATTTGTGAAAAGGCAAGGCAGTTGCATGCTGATCTTGTGAAGAAAACTCCTGGAACCAGTGCTGATAGTGAATTTAAGGCCAGCAGAGGCTGGTTTGACAGATTTAAGAAGCACAGTGGCATACACAATGTTGTAAGGCATGGTGAGGCAGCCAGTTCAGGCAAACGAGCTGCTGAAAAATTTGTGCATGAATTTAAGGGGTACATAGACACTAAAAAATTCAAACCCCAACAACTGTTCAATTGTGACGAAACAGGCCTGTTTTGGAAGACAATGCCCAAGAGGACCTACATTACTCAGGAAGTAAAGGCACTCCTAGGACACAAGCCTATGAAAGACAGGCTAACTCTTTTGTTCTGTGCCAACACTAGTAAGGATTTTAAAGTGAAGCCTTTACGGGCGTATCACTCAGAAAATCCCAGTGTTTAAGAAAAACAATGTCATTAAGAACAAGTTATGTGTCTAGTGGAAAGCAAATAAGGCATGGGTCATGAGGCCAATTTTCAAAGAGTGGGTCCATGAAGTGTTTGGCCCCAGTGTGAAAAAATACTTCCTAGATAATAATTTGCCACTCCAGTGCCTCCTGTTACTGGACAATGCTCCTGCACATCCTCCAAACTTGGTAGACCTACTGTCTACGGACTACAGTTTCATCACAGTGAAGTTCTTGCCTCCTAACACCACTCCTTTCCTCCAGCCTATGGACCAGCAGGTCATTTCAAACTTCAAAAAACTCTACACAAAAGCAGTGTTTGAAAAGTGCTTTGAAGTGACCTCAGACACTAGGTTGACCCTAAGAGAGTTCTGGAGGAATTACTTCAATATCTACACCTGCATAAACCTTATAGGTAAGGCTTGGGAGGGAGTGACTTCCAGGACTTTGAACTCTGCTTGGAGACAATTGTGGCCACAATGTGTCATCCAGAGGGATTTTGAAGGGTTTGAGGCTGACTCTGACCCTGCCGACCCTCTGCCTGTTGTGGAAGGTTTTGTGGCATTGGGCAAGTCCATGGGGTTGGAGGTGAGTGGTGAGGATGTGGAAGAGTTGATGGAGGACCACGGGGAAGAGCTAACCACTGAAGAGCTGGAAGAGCTTCATCTGGAACAGTATCAGACCACAGCTCAGGAACTTGCTTCAGAGGAGGAGGAAGAGGGAGTGGATGAGGTGCCTTCTTCAAATATTAACCCTTTCAGGGTCGGCAGGCCCTCTCCTAAACTTGTTCTCAGGGTCGGAAATTTTTCGAAAAAAAAAAAAAATCTTATGAAATGATAGATAATCCTTTCCCGATCATAATGACACCAAAAGTATGAAATTTGATGGAAAATTTACGGAATTATACTCTCACGAAGTTAGCGGTCTCGACGATATTGACACATCGGCGATTTCACCCACTTTGAGCCCTATTTTCGGCCAATTCCAATGTACCAGTCAACAAAAATCATACCTGTTTTCCTAGAACTTCATTTTTTCTATCGAATGAGTACAAGAAACCACCCATTTACCGATTTCAACTATCCAATAACGTGGTCAGAAATTGGCAATTTTGCCAATTTCACACAAATTTCAAAAGAAGCCAATTTCCAAATAGGGTCCAGAATAAACAAGACAGACATTCCTGGCACTAAAATAACATTTCCTCTGTTCATTACTCATGTTCCCAGGCCTCTGTTACATTTCTTTTGCTTTCCACTTTGAATTTTTATTCTCACAAAAAATAGAAGATTTATGTTATGCAGACTACTGCATTCACACAGAAATGGTATAAATAATATCAGGCACTTGTGAAAGAATATTACACTCACCATTTTAAGTGTACTGGATGCGTGGCATGATTTGTTTACCTTTGAACTTTGGCAAAAATCGAACATTTCTGCTACTTTGAGCTCAATTTCAAGGTACTTTTCATTAGGAAACCAATCAAAATCATCTCAATTTCCATAGTATGTTTTCCATTCTATAAAATGAGACCAAGAAAACTAGAATACAACCATAAATAGCATAGGAAAATACACTGCAAAGTCGCTGTTTTAAACCAAAAACACGGTTGGAGTTTTTTTTTTCTCATTATGCACTGTGTGCTGCAGGATTTTCTTTATACTTAGCACACTGACCACACAGACCCATTCTTTCATATGTAGGCCTACTAGCTTTCTCTCGCTAGATTTGAAGGTGCTAGAATTTATGCGTACTAGTACGGCACCAACCCTGGTATGCAGGCCATACTAGTACGGCACCAACCCTGAAAGGGTTAAGGAGATTTGTGCCAAGTGGAATGATGTGCAAATGTTTGTGGAGAAGTACCACCCTGAGCAAGCTGAAACAAGCCATCTTTGCAACATGTTCAGTGACAGAACCACATCCCATTTTAGGGAAATCTTAAAGAGGCACCAGAAACAGAGGACTGTGGACAGTTATTTTGTGAGACATTGGTCCAGTGACTCTCAAGCTGGTCCTAGTGCCATTAAAAGTCAAAGAAGGGAAGTAACCCCAGAGTGGGCTTTGCTACCTGAAGACTTTATGGAGGGGGATTCCCCTTCCAAACAGCAAGCCCTCACTCACTCACTCCTCCCTATCTTACAGATGCCATCAACAATCTTCAATAAAGGTAAGTAAAAATGTTATTTTATATGTTTATTTATATTTTTATTTATCAGTTACTAATTGTACTATGTATGTTTGTTGTGTGTATGTAAAAACTATAATGAAATCTCTATAAAATGTATTTTTTTGTGAATATTTCTGGGTTTCTGAAACGGATTAATTGTATTTCCATTATTTCTTACGGGAAATATTGCTTTGACTTTCGAACATTTGACTTTAGAACTAGCTCCTAGAACGGATTAAATTCGAAACTCGAGGTTCCACTGTACTGCATTATAATTTATCTACATCAACTACACATTAAGGTACAAAATAACTAATAATGTAAGCTAATTATAATTACCTTTTTATAATCAAATTTGTCAGGATACTGTGCCATGAAACGACGAAATTGATTTCGAGTGTCCTTGTCACTTGCAGTATCAAATGGAACAATTTTATCCGCATCTGCAACACTTGGGTCACACCCGTTCTCTAACAACCACCTGAAAATATTGTACAGTAATTCTGTATCTCATTCAGGTAATGGACTGGTTGACTAAAAATGAAAATGATGGCACTGTACTACTGTAAAAATAATAATAATAATAATAATAATAATAATAATAATAATAATAATACTATTATTACTGTATTATTACTATTCTTATTATTATTATTATTAACGTTCATGAAAAGCAATTAACCCACAAGGGTCATTCAGCACAGTGCAGTAGAGAACACATGACAAAAGAAAAGAACAGCTAGTGTAGGCCAATTTGAGAACAAGATTCTTTTAGGGCAGTGCCTTGATGCCAATGAATGGCTCTTGATGCAAAGACTGAGGTATTTTTTCTTTCCCTGGACTGAATCTGATTACCTCTCATTCCCCAAGGTGCTGTACTACCTCTACAAGTTTAGCACTTCCCCCATCACATAAATAAAACTGAGAGTAAGGAGTGATAAAACAAGAACGCTAAAGCAACACAGTCTCTAATAAAGAGCCATACATAACCTCAGTTGGTAGACAGCAACCACCCAGGGAGGTACTATCATCCTGCCAAGTGAGTCTGAAACAGAAGCCTGTAGTTGTTTTACATGATGGTAGGAATGCTGGTGTCTTCTTTCTGTCTCATAAACATGCAGGATAATAGGTAAATCTTGCTTCTTCTACTTATACTTAGGTCATGCTACACATGCATGTACACGCATACATATTTACACACCCATCTGGGTTTTCTTCTACTTTCTTAATATTTTTTTTTTTTTTTCAACAAATCGGCCATCTCCCACCGAGGCAGGGTGACCCAAAAAGAAAGAAAATCCCCAAAAAGAAAATACTTTCATCATCATTCAACACTTTCGCCTCACTCACACACAATCACTGTTTTTGCAGAGGTGCCCAGAATACAACAGTTTAGAAGTATATACATATAAAAATACACAATATATCCCTCCAAACTGCCAATATCTTCTTCTTCTTTATTTCCTTTTATCTCCATGGGAGTGTGGGGCTAGTAACCCCTTCTCCTGTATTAATTACTAAGTTTAAAAAAAAAAAACTTTTGTTTTTCATTTTAAGTCGCTCTGCCTTGGTGGGATACGGTTGATTTGTATGCAACGTGATTTCTGTGTACTTCTGGGAAAACAATTACATACTGAATGAGTAACAGTGAATGTGTTTTTTAATTTTGTCACTCTACCTTTGGTATGGTAAAATAATTCTGTATATTAAAGTAAGGTGCATTACAATTATATAGACTGACTCACCACACAATCTCCTTCTGACCATTTTCTGCTGCCACATGAAGCATTGTCCTACTTTTTCTTCCCAGTGTAATACAGCTAAGATTGGATGGAATTTCAGTGCATTCAATTAAATCCATAATTTCATCTGGAAGAGCACCATCTGCAAAATGGAAACTATTTTTACTCATAAAATATATTTACATGGGTACAGGCTGTCATCCTACCTCATATTATTCCAAAGCCCAGCCCTAAATATAATATACAGTATATTGTCCCCTAAGATGAAAGTCATAACAGCTCACTAGCATCCAGGTACCTATTTACTACTAGGTGAACAGGGACAATTAGTGTAGAGAGACTTGCCTATGTCTTCTCCAACTCAGGAACTTTGTGTTATGAGCATGTTTTAACCATCATAAATCCTGTGAGTATTTATATAACAGCATAGTTGGCAGAAACCATCTTATTAGGTTAAATACAAATCAAACTACTATTCAAGAAAGATAATTATGAGGCATTTCAATTCAAATTTGAAGATATTAAGCAAGTTATATGCTAATAAATTTGGCAAAATCTATACCAACTCTTTTTTCTTTCACCTAAAGTCACTAAAATACACCTGAATGAAGTGTTTTTCATAAACAACTATTTACTGACAATCATATTTCCATTACAGTAACACCACCACCTTCCTACCTCTCCAGGGAGGTTCCTGATGCCAGTGAAGGGCTCTTGATCCAAGGCATTGGACCTGTCCTTTGACTGAACTTGAAAGCCTCTCATTCCCCAGGTACTATATGACCCCTATGGGTTTGGTGCTCCCATAATAATAATAATAATAATAATAATAATAATAATAATCTAGGTAGTAGGTTGGTAGACAGCAACCGCCCAGGGAGGTACTACCGTCCTGCCAAGTGAGTGTAAAACGTAAGCCTGTAATTGTTTTACACGATGGTAGGATTGCTGGTGTTTTTTCTGTCTCATAAACATGCAAGGTTTCAGGTACGTCTTGCTACTTCTGCTTACACTTAGGTCACACTACACATACATGTACAAGCATATGTATACACACCCCTCTGGGTTTTCTTCTATTTTCTTACTAGCTCTTGTTCTTGTTTATTTCCTCTTATCTCCATGGGGAAGTGGAACAGAATTCTTCCTCCGTAAGCTATGCGTGTTGTAGGAGGCGACTAAAATGCCAGGAGCAAGGGGCTGGTAACCCCTTCTCCTGTATATTATTACTAAATATGAAAGGAGAAACTTTTGTTTTTCCTTTTGGGCACACCCCACCTCGGTGGGATTACGGCTGGTGTGTTGAAAGAAAGAAAGAATAATAATAATAATAATAATAATAATAATAATAATAATAATAATAATAACTTTCCTAAGTAGGATCGACAGTCCTGTTAAGTAAAAAGACACAAGTGCAATTAATTTGACATTTTATTGCGGCAAGGCTTCGCTCTTCAGGAGCTTTGTCAAGCCATAACGGCTTGACAAAGCTCCTGGAGAGTGAAACGTTGCCACAATAAAATGTCACATTAGTTGCACTAGTGTCCTTTTACTTAACATATTGTCGGTAATTCTACCAATATTAATACAATCAACAGTCCTATCAACAAGTGATAAAATAGAAGACTTAACATTTTGCGCTCTTAGAGTATATATTGATCATCTTTTCTTTCTGTCTTGTAAACATCAAATTAGCATAGCAAAACAAGTGTAGAAGTTTATAAGAGGATGCTTGACAAGTGCTTCTGCCAAGTGCTAGCTCAACCAGGCTGTAATGAACATATAAGCTAGCAGGCTGCTAGTAGCAACAGCCTGGTTGACTAGGCAAGCACCAGACAAACCTGGCTCATGGCTGGACTGCAGGAGTAGCAAAACTTTATAAACCCATCAACAGTACACCATATCTAAGGTATACATTAATTATGGGTTGGACAGATATATCAATAGTAAGGCTTGCCTAGCATGGCCCAGTAGGCCTACTGCAGTACTAATTTTTATATTATAAATTAACTTTGTCTCCACATGAGTTTTAAATACAGTATACTGTTTTACTCACACTCAAAACTTTTCTTAACTAAAAAAAGAACATGAAAGAAACCTTGACACTGGGTTGTTCAAATGTGCATGGATATAGTAGATACAGTACCTAGATTTATTATTATATTATGAAAAGTGCAAAGTCTATAAGAGTCATTCAATCTTCAATGGAAGAGGTTGAAGAGATGGTAGAATGTGAGAAGTGGAGATGTTCAGGAAAGGACTGAGTGCTTCTAATTCAGCAAAATTGGATTCATCAGCAGTATGCTGTTACCCTATTCTATATGATAATTAAAGAGTAGGAACAAGAGCTAATTAAGTTTTCCCTATCATATTTCAGCAAGCAGGATGATGGTTATACAAAGTGTTGAAATCTGTCAGCGTGAGCTGGGAGACTTCAATAGGGCAATGAGGATATCATCAAGTATTCCATTAAGGGATCATCAGCTATGGAGGACATAAGCAGAAAGAAGAGAGGTAGGTCACAGCTAATGTAGCAAATTAATGTCTGTTAAATCATCCTAGGTCTATATTAAAGGCAAGATTGTCAGAGAGGAGTAAGGAAATAGGAAGTACAGTGCCTCTGAAGGATGGGTGGGAATATTTTGCAGTTTGGAGCGTTACCTAAATTATAGTATAGGCACGCCTCTGGCAAGGCAGTGATAGAGTGAATGACGGTGAGAGTGTTTCTTCTTTAGGTCACCCTGGATGGAGACAGCTGGTGTGTTTATAAAAATAAAAAATGGGAGAGTGGATGAGTTGGTGGATGAAGTTATAAAAGAGGAGGTGAATCATAAAATAGATGAAGAAAAGAAAGTAGCTGGAGAGTTGAGCCTGTGGAAAGGTTATTAATAGATGCAAATAAGGGAAAGGAATCAGAGTACAGAGAAGAAGTGTCAGTGCTTTTATATGGGTGTGAGGCATAGTTTCTGACTTTTGCAATGCAGAGGGCACTGGAGGCAACAGACATATGTTTGAGAGCAATGTGTAGTGTAAATTAAGTTGAGAATAAGATATGAAAAATGTGAAGTATAATAAAGAAAGCATAATTCAGGGAGCAGAAAAGGGTTGTTAAGATGGTTTAGTCATTTAGAGAGGCTGGAGCAAGATAGGTTAAATTTGGGATATAAATTTGGGATACCACTGTGTAGAGACATATTACAAAATAATTTACCCTGTCAAAAAAAGTTACAAGTGAAGACCTGCCAAAAAAAGTTACAAGTGAAGACCTGCCAAAAAAAGTTACAAGTGAAGACCTGCCAGCAACATCCACTGAAGAATCAACCTAGATTAACACTCCTGTAAAAGATTCAACTTCAGGTGAGATTCACTGACATTTCTCTTTGTTTTCCGAGAAATGGAATATAGCCCTGATTTGAACTTAGTTGTTGTTAGGAAAGTAAGTGCCATGTTCTGCAAGAGCTTACTGTGTCTGTATTCGTCCAGGAATTGGTATGTGCAAAGTGGATTCCCTATAGTGTACTATAACCTGTCTTATTTTAAAATGCATTTTTACTAACTAAGTTCAGAAAAAAACATATACCTTGAGTCTTATTATATGAAGGAATTTTGAGTGCTAGTTTAAGATACTCCACATTGCCAGTCTTGCAAGCTGTGTAGACCACATCCCACACTCGAGTGTTGAGATGGTAACCTGGTAAGTGGAAAATTATAAATATTTTAGGCACACACTAGATAAGCAGCACCAGACAAGCCTTGTCCATGGATGGGCTCCAATAGTGAAACTCTTGAAGCTCTTCAAAGGTAAATCAAAGGTATAAAAAGTATAGTTTCTTTCAACACCTCTAATTATATAAAGGCAGGTACAAACAATAGAAGAGGCAACTAAATTCTATAACTATATCATGGAACTTCTCTTAGTCTCCCCATTACTGGTACTTTAGTCTCTTACCAAAAGATTATAAGTTAAAAAACAAACTTGGTACCCACCTTCTTTATTTAATTCACTGGAAGTGGTGGGCATTTTGGTATTTCTCTGTTTATCCTTAATCTTTGTATTCTCTCTTACTTGTCTTTCAACAAATTTTCTATTTTTAGTTCTTTTAAATGAGCTATCTGGTCCTCCAAGCTCACTGGTGCTCAGTGTACATAAACTGGTGACAAGTTCCATGTCATCGTCCCCTTCCAATTCCATCTCATCATCTGAAGACTGCCTATCATTTGCAAAAAATTTCCTCATAGATTTTGGCTTCTTTTCAGGTTTATTTACATTTCCTTTTTTCTTTTTCACATTCGGCTTTATTTCTCCAATTAATGAATCTTTCACCATAGTTCTGAATTCTTCCTCAGTCCCTGTTGCAATTAAAATATATAAACAAAAAAAATGACCTCTAAAACTCATCTTTGTAGACAGAAGGGGATTACAGAATATAGATAAACCAAGACTAATTAATTAGCTAATCAAGCTTTGCAGTAAAATTAGATGGCCTTTTGTTACCATTAGTCTAGTAAATATCGAACTCACAAGGAACTTCATTTTTTTTTTTTTTAACAAGTCGGCCGTCTCCCACTGAGACAGGGTGACCCAAAAAGAAAGAAAATCACCAAAAGGAAAATACTTTCATCATCATTCTACACTTTCACTTCACTCACACATAATCACTGTTTTTGCAGAGGTGCTCAGAACTTCATATCTCTCTATAAATGCTTGACTACATTAGGGGGATCAAAAAGGTACAGGTTGGCCATCACTAATCCGGCCATTAGTAATTCAGTTCCATCAGTAATCCGGCACTAATTTTGGGTCACCCCACCAACCTGATGTACTGTTTGGTTGTGCTACTTGCTGCATAAGTCATTCCAATTTTTTTTTCCATTTATTGTTATAACCTGGTTCCAATGAATAAAAGAAATGCATCTTGTTGTGTAAAGCACATATACCATACATTGTCCATAAAAGATAAGGTGGCTTTGAAGCCACTGTCAGTTGCCATGAGCTCAGCTCACTCAGATAAGCTGTGACCGGTAAATTTGGGCCTACATATGAGAGAATAGGTCTGTATGGTAAGTGTGCACTAGATAAAAAAAAAAATTCTGCAGCACACAATGCATAATGAGAAAAAATGGCGACTGTGTTTATGGTGTAAAACAGTGACTGTGGTGTATTTTCATATGGTTTTTATGGTTGTATTCTCGTTTTTTGGTCTCAATTGATAGAATGCAAGATTTTTTTTTTTCAACAAACCGGCCGTATCCCACAAAGGCAGGGTGGCCCAAAAACAAAAACAAAAGTTTCTCTTCTCAAATTTAGTAATTTATACAGGAGAAGGGGTTACTAGCCCCTTGCTCCCAGCATTTTGGTCCTCTTACAACACTCATGGCTTATGGAGGAAGAATTCTGTTCCACTTCCCCATGGAGATAAGAGGAAATAAACAAGAACAAGAACTAGAAAGAAAATAGCAGAAAACCCCAGAGGGGTGTGTGTATATATATGCTTGTACATGTATGTTTAGTGTGACCTAAATGTAAGTAGAAGTAGCAAGACGTACCTGAAATCTTGCATGTTTACGAGACAGAAAAAAGACACCAGCAATCCTACCACCATGTAAAACAATTACAGGTATCCGTTTTACACTCACTTGGCAGGACGGTAGTATGTACTTCCCTGGGCGGTTGCTGTCTACCAACCTACTACCTAGAATGGAAGATATATTACAGAAAAAGATATGATTTTGATTGGTTTCAAGAAAGAAAATACCTTAAAATTGAGCTGAAACTAGTAGAAATGTTCAAATTTTCACCAATGTTCAAGAATAAACATTATCCAATATGTGTCCAACTGGTTGGTCTAATACGCAGTCATGAATGGCTTGACATTATTTATACAATTATTACAATAATGCAGTAGTCTACATAACAGTAAATATTCTATTTTTTGTGCAATAAAAATTCAAAATGGAAAGAAGCGTAATATAAGAGGGGCCTGGAGACGTGACTAATGAACAGAGAAAATGTTATTTTAGTGCCAGGAATGTCTTCATTTTTTATATTCTGGACCTTATTTTAAAACTGGCATCTCCTGAAATTATCAATATCTGACCATTTTATTGGATAGCTGAAATAGGTAAATGGGCAGTTTCTTGTACTCAGTCAACAGAATAGAAGGAATACTGTACTAGTAAAATAGCCGAGTTTGGTAGGCTGGAACAATGGAATGAGCCAAAAATAGGGCATAAAGTGGGCAAAATCGCCGATGTGTAAATATGGCCGTTTGGTTAAATATAATCCAGAAAAATCACTAATCAGGCACCCTACAGGTCCCAATGGTGCTGGATTAGTGATGGTCAACCTGTACCTGGTTTATAAAAATATAAATAAGTAAATACTTTATTTCCACATGATGCAGTACTGTACATAGCTTTTACATAATTGGACAACATATAATAATACAAGTGTGAGCAGGGTAATATTTAGTGAAGGGATTCAGGGAAACCGGTTATTTTATATAACCGGACTTGAGTCCTGGAAATGGGAAGTACAATGCCTGCACTCAAAAGGAGGGGTCTGGGATATTGGCAGTTTGGAGAGATATACTGTGTATTTTTATATGTATATACTTCTAAACTGTTGTATCCTGGGCACCTCTGCAAAAACAGTGATTATGTGTGAGTGAGGTGAAAGTGTTGAATGATGATGAAAGTATTTTCTTTTTGGGGATTTTCTTTCTCTTTGGGTCACCCTGCCTCGGTGGGAGATGGCCAATTTGTTGAAAAAAAAAAAATAATAATACAAGTGGAAAGCCTCTGGTTTTAGAGCATTTAAGGCACTTCTTGCTTTTTCTTTGGTACATATTAATTATCTCTGACTTTCCTTATATTTATGTGAAGAAACAGGGAAATATTTAAATGTAAAGAGGGAGATTACTTCCCGGTAAAAGTAGGTCTTGGACAGGGATGTGTAATATCACCATGGTTGTTTAAATATATTTATAGATGGGGGTGTAAAAGAGGTAAATGCTAGGGTGTTGGGGAGAGGGGTAGGATTAAATTATGGGCAATCAAATACAAAGTGGAAGTTGACATAGAAACTTTTTGCTGATAATACTGTGCTTTTGGGAGATTCTAAAGAAAAGTGGCAAAGGTTAGTGGATGAGTTTTGGAGGGTGAGTAAAGGTAGAAAGTTGAAAGGAAAAAAAGGTAGGTGATGAGGGTAAAAAAATTATTAGAAAAAAAAAAAATTGGTTCACATTTAAAGGGGTTGGAATGTGAAATTTTTAGTACTTTTGGGATTTGATTGTCAGGGAAGGGTTTTTAAAAGAAGGAAAAAATAAATTGAAAAAAAAAAGGTGAGGGGCTTGGGGTTTGTGGAGACAAAAAAATTTACCGGGAGGAAAGAAGGGAAGGAAAGGTTAGGGTACCCTTTTAAAGGGGGTTGAAGGGGTTGCTTGTGTGGGGAGGGGCTGGACTTGGGAATATAATGTTAAGGGATGTTGGGGTAAATTTTTGCGAAAGTGAAGGGTGAAATAGGAAAGGGGTTGGGGAAAAATTTAGTCAAAAGGGCTGAAGAGGGGCTGTTGAGGGGGGTTTGGTATTCAGGAGGAAACAAAATGTGCTTGGAGGGTTAAATTGAAGGGAAAGGGAAGGCGGGGAGGGGTTTTCCCCCTTTGGTTGAAGGAGGGGTAAAAAAAGGTTTTGTCGGGGGCTTGGACTTCGCGCAATAACGTTTAGATAGGGGAATAATAAATGGGTTTTTGGGGAGAAAGTGTGGATGGAGAAAGGGTTTTTTAGTGGGGCCCAAAAAACCGGGGGAGCACCAGTCTGAAAAAAAATGCCCCCTTTTAAAAAGGGTTTTGGGTTTTTGGAGTTTAGGGTTTTAAAAATTTTTTGGGGCCTCTGAAAGACAAAATTATGGGAAGGGAAAAAATTTTGATGATTTTAAAAAGACCTTTTGGGAAAATTTTTGTAAAATGGCCTTGTTAAAAAAAAAAAAAAAAATTTCCCGTATTTTCCCTGCTTTCCCCTTTGACTGTGGGTGTATTATCCCTTTATTCCCGTTTGCGTAAAAAATAAATTCTCGGTTAAATCAAAAAAAGCGGTAAATCGAGGAAAGGGCGGGGGATGGACAAACATTAAAAAATTTCCTACCCAGTCAAATTTAGAAAAAAAAATGAGTTTTTTAAATTAAAATTTACTTTGGGTGGTTTTTTTTTTTGTTTAGGGTTGTTTTATTTTTTTGGTTTTTGTGGGGTTTTTTTAGGGGAGTGATTTTTTTAATTTTTAAAAAAAGGTGTGGGTGTTGTTTTTTGTTTTTGGGGGTTTTTTTTTAAAAAAACTGCTATTGTTTTAACTAATTTTTTAATTGGGGGGTTTGTTTTTTTTTTGTTTGGGTTGGTTTTGTTTTTATTTTTTTTTTAAAAAAAAATTAAATGGGTTTACGGGGGTGGGGGTGTTGTTAAAATTTTCTTTTTTTTTTTTTTTATTTAAACTGTAGTTTACGAATTTGGTTATTGTTGTGGTTTACATGTAGTAAATAATAATTACAGGTGTACCACTAGAACGCCTAGCATGGCTATGATTTCGGGCCCAGACTTATATTAAATCTTAGGTTTAAAAATGTTACAGAATTATGAGATAAGTTGGTATTATGGCCAAGTGACTAAATACTAGTTGTGAGTTTAGCAATGTGAATGCTTTTGTTTTGGCACTATACATAGTTTCAGTATTGGAGTATCACAGGCCAACTTTTGACTAGTTAAGATTCATTATTTTGAGATTGAGATTGATATTTCTGTTTATGGTCAATTGGGTGAGTGAGTGTAAGTGTGAACCACCAGGTGGTATTCGTATTATTAGTTGACAGGGTGTATCAGGGAGATAAGATGTTTTCTGATGGTAGTTTTGAAGGTGATGAATGTGTCTGCAGTTTTGGAATTTTCAGGTGGGTTTGTTCCAGATTTTAGGGCCTTTGACATACGTTGAATTTTTGTAAAGGTTTAGTCGGACACGGGGAATGTCATAGAGATGTTTGTGTCTGGTGTTGTGCCTGTGGGTTCTGTCACAACTATCAAGAAAGCGTTTTAGGTCAAGGTTAATATTGGAATTTAAGGTCCTGTAGATGTAGATTGCACAGTAGTAAGTGTGGATGTACTGAACAGGGAGTAAGTTTAGATCTATGAAGAGTGGGGGTGTGTGTTGCCAGGGATGGAATTTAGTGATTATTCTTACTGCGGCTTTTTGTTGGGTTATTATTGGCTTTAGGTGTGTTGCTGCAGTTGAACCCCAAGCACAGATAGCATAGGTGAGGTATGGATATATAAGTGAGTGGTATAGTGTGAGAAGGGCAGTTTGCGGCA